CTTTCTCTCTTGTAATGTTAAGAAATATGTCCTAAGCTGGTACTACTTGTTTCTAACTCTTCCTCACCTGCTTCATGAAAAAGAGCCACAGTTACACTTCTTTTCAACCATTTGTGCCTCCATTGACCTTGAAGTCTGACCTGTAGCCTCTGTCTGCCCTCACTCACTCTTTGCTGGAGCCATGTCCTTGCCGGACACTGGGGGCCCCCTCTTCTGGCACAGCTCTGAATTCTTCAGGGCTCTGTCCTTGAGATGACCCAGCTGGGATTCTGTCCCACACCTACCTCCTTCTTAAACAATTGTTACTCCTTATTCATTTCTCTTATTTGGCTTTTAACATGCTTCCCTTGTTGTATCCTCTTAGTTCCCAAGTCTGTTCTCAACAGCCTTCTTGTGGAATGTTCCTCTGGCATTATAGGCCTCTCCTCTCCAATGGCTTCAATGCTTATCTCTGTGGAGTGGGCTTCTAATCTGTCGTTCTGACTCCAGCTTTTCTTTCTGAGTTCGAGTCCTTTGAATTTCAGACTCCGTGAGTCTGAAGCAAAGTGCATCATCCACCTTTCAATCTAACATCTCCCCTCTCATTACTTCTATAAGTGACATCACCTTTGCCATGGCAACCCAAAGCTCTGAGTCCTCTGTTCATTGCTCATCCAGCTATTTCAGGGGCTGTTGTGAGACAAGCATTTTGCTAGGCGTGGAGAATGCCAGTATGTGTTTGACATAGTCCTTGAGCTGGGGAGAGCCAGACATGGTGGTGGAAGGCTTTGGCAAGCATGCCCAGAGGAGGAGGAAGCAGAGGAAGAAGAGGAGGGTGTGGAGGAGGAGGAGGAGGAGGAAGAGGAGGGCACTCCCCATATGCCTGGAGAAGGAGCGGGACTCAGAAAGGGCTGTTAAGAAAGAGATGAAGCTTGACCAGAATGTTACAGGTGAGAAGATATACAAAAAGAAGTAGAAAAATCCAGACAAAGGAGAATTTCAGCCAAAACAAGAGAAGAGGAACAGCCAAGAGCTGTCAGGACCTGAGCAGCTACTCCGTGAGGCACTTGGCCAGGGACTAGGTGTCCTGAAGGCCTACACAGATATGTCTCTGGTACCTTGTCTCTCTTTCCTCGGCTCCTTATTCAATCCTTCATTGTTTTCTTATTGTTTTGATTTTACTATTAACATTTTATTACATATGAAAGTAAATAATATTTAAATCACATACAAAAGTAAATTTTTAAGAAACGTAATGACAAAATATTATGTATAGCTCAAACAGGAGATTAACAATAGTTTCTTCATATTATTATGCACTTAAAATCTCACAAATGGTTATATTCTGCACAGTTTGTTTCTACCAGGATTCATTTAAAGTCCACATTTGTGAATGGTTGATAGTACTTTTAAGTGTCTTTTAAGCTACAGATTTTCCATTCATCTCCCTTTTTCTTTCCCTTGGAATGTATTTGTTGAAGAATCCAGGTCTTTTTTCTTCACATTTTTTTCCATGGTCCGATTCTTGCTAATTGTATCCAGTGGTGTGACTAGACATGTTCCTCTGTGCCTTTTATTTCCCATAAATTGATTGGTAGATCTACAGATTTGATTTACAGATTACTTTTTGGCAAGACTACTTCAGGATGGCATAAGAGGTACATAACATCTGTTTGTCTCTCCTTTAATGACGATGTTTAGAACCATTCATTCATAAGAAGTGGAAAAATGGTGACATTCTAAATTCTATCATTCCTTATGTGTTTATCAGCATCAGAAGATAAACTTCCTTTCATTGAACATGTGAGTTCCCAGTGGTACATTTCATGTAGGAAAGATAAGAACCTGATCTTTTACTTAACAGTTGATTTTCCAGCATCTTTCAACAGTGACAAATTGATGTTTTTCTTTTAAATATGAGATTGTAGATTTAATATATGTGATGTATTTTGATTCATTTCAGCTGTGTTCTGGTACTTGAATCGCTCTGTGTTTGACCTGTGGTAGCTTCTCCAAGTTGGTTTCAAGTTCTTTTTTACACGATTCAATAGTCTGACATGACAAGATATTCCAGACCCATCTTGTATATCTCCTGCCCCAGAGTGGGAGCCAGTCACATCTCCACAGACTCCTGGTTTCTTGTAGTGGGAAATGTATGTCAAAATCACAATGTAGGTACTAGGGTTCTCCATTACTTTAAATCTCAATTGTGATAGCAAACTTGACCCACCAATTCTGATTCCTATAATCATCACTTCTACTGCATTTTTGCTGCCAGATCTTCCTGAAGCCCAGAACTAGCCATGTGCTGCTTTCATGTAGTCATTTCACTGGCCTCCCTGATCCATCAGGTCCATCAGCTGGGCATTCCAAAAGTGTTTCCCAGCCTAACCTAACCTGAATCCCTGGCTGTGACCCTGCTTCTCCCTGTCCCTGCCATGTACCAGCCCAGCTGACCTGCTAGCTGTTTTGTGACCCTGCCTCCTATGTCCCTACCTTTGTGCTGTTGTTCATGCTATGCACTCACCCGGACCACTCTCCCTCTAGACCTCTGCTTTTAGATGTCCTTGAAGACATGGCTGATTCCAAGTCTGGGTCAGGAAATGTACAAACGCTCCTTTAATGTCACGTGTGCTCTTAGAGGGAGGTCTAATGACCTCATAATGAAAGTTTTCCTTTCTCTGAATTCTTGTGACCCTTTCCTATGGCACCAGACATTGATGTATCCTGAATGGGACTGTGAATTTCTGGAAGGCTGGGATCCTGGCTTATTTGTTTTTTAAATTCCCAGTGCTAAGTGTTTTTCCCTGACACGTAGCAGATCATCTAATACATGTCTGTAGAATGAAAGAAGGCTGAGATGACTGAATGAATTACTTACATCCTGCTTGGTGGTAAGGACATTAGGTGGAAATCCTGTTCTTATCTACTTTCAGTTTTACCAGACCATAATCTCCTTGAAGGCTGGGATGACACTTGTCCACCTTTGTCTCCTAACACGGTGACTCACTTACTGCATACTAGGTGAGTTGAATTTATGGGGGGGAAAAGAGGAATTTAAATCCAAAGACTCACTCTCTTGTCTCAAGCAACAAAGATCTGAGCTTCTGACCTGTTCTTGTCTGTATTAGTGGCGAGGATTTCAGAGCCGAAGGAAGGCAAAATTCCATTTGCCCAGTTGTGCCATACAATTTGGGATAGACCAGCTTCATATTAATGCTGCAACTCTTTAATTTTTTTCTTGCTTTTCTTTTATTCACTGAGATATCCTGTGTGATTGAGGCTCTTTGAAGCTCACTGCAGAGACTTAGCATGGCAGTAAAAAAGCTTCCCAGAAGACACTCCAAGAACAAACAACCAGTGACCCCGGGGATGATAGCACAAAAACGCTATTGACAAAAGATGGGCAGAGAGCGGTTGCCTTTATTTGGACAGAGTGAGGAAAAGAACTCAAAGTGAGTCTGTGGGCCAAGTACACCCTGGGTGTTCTATTACTCTTTTGGGGAGAGCTGCATGCTTGTAATATCTGGAGTTAGCAGCTGTGGAAGGGCTTCTGATTCCAGATACGGAGGTGGATCAAGACCCCTGCTTGGTGGCAAGAGTTGGGGCTTGAACTCCATAGGCTGAATTTTTAGGGCCATACACTTTGTGCTATACCAGTCTTCCTTTTCTTTTGTGAGGAGGCCAGGGTCAATTTTTTATTTTAATGTTGTGAATTTTTGTGGGTTTCTTTTTCCCTGATGAATTGCAAAAGCCAGCTGAATATCCTGGACCCTGGGGGTCCCTGAGACCTGCTTTTTTTAAGTCCTGTTTTTCACCAACTCTTGCAAGACACTAGTCCTCTGGCTAGTCTTTCCCCTAGCCTCTTTATATACCTAACATCTGCTCTGTTTTCCTGAAAGTCCTTTCTAGTTCTGAATACTTTCTATTAAATTCTTGGCTTTCCTGATTAACTTTTTTTTTTAAATATATTTTTTAATATTTTTATTTATTTCTAGGAGAGAGAGACAGCGTGAAGAGGGGAGGATCAGAGAGAGAGGGAGACACAGACTCGGATATAGGCTCCAGGCTCTGAGCTGGCAGTCAGCACGGAGCCCAACGCAGGGCCCGAACCCACGAACCGTGAGATCATGACCTAAGCGAAAGTCGGACGCTTAACCGACTAAGCCACCCAGGCGCCCCTTTCCTGATTAACTTTTAAAGGGCCCTTTCGAATGTTGCGGCTGATGATTTTAAAGAAATGATCAGCTCTGGAACTCTCAACTCTGATTTTCAGGACTGGTTTTTAAAATGCAGAGTTTTCAACACAAAGGGAGGGTTTCCCAAACGACAGTACATGGCCCGCGCCTTGTTCTGGCCAGCCTCTAAAAACTGAGCCCTTTTAGCTTCCTCGTGCTCTTCCAGGTGGAGAGCACACCCCCTTGGGCTCAGGGTATCCCAGACACTTGAATCAAGAGAAAGATGTCTGGCCACCTGGGTCTCCTATGAACATTAAAGTTGTTCCCTGACCTCCTCAAGTGTCAAGTTCAGCAGACTGGAGCTGCTCTTGCAAAGGGAACGTTGAGAATATTCATTTCCTACGTGCCTCCTCTGTGCTAGGTACAGGGCTACCTGCTTTATGTGGAGTCTGAAATTCAATTCTCACAACAAGTCTGTGAAGGGGCCGTTATTTTCCTCAATTGACTCATGAGCCTGGTAGAGAGAAGGTGTTCACCGAAACATTACTATGAAGAAGAAGAAAAAAAAAAGTGAGCAGCGGGGGAAGGACGAACGACCAAAAAGTCATTTGCTCAAAACCACATAGAACATGCTCTGAAACCAGGTTTGTCTGATTCCAAATGCAGTGTTTTGTTTCCTCCTGACTGTTATGTTCAGAAAGGCCTGTGAATACCTCTCTTTCTCTATTTAGCATTTTCTGGGTTAGGTCACTGAAGGGCTGTGTGAAAATGCAAATGTTTCCTTTGAGAGGAATGAGATGGGAAGCCAGTCTGTTTCTTGCCTCAAGGAGGAGGATTCCTTGATCAGATTAGCTTCACCTTCCACTTGTGAGGCAAAGCCTGCATTTGAGAATGGACCAGGGGGAAGGCAAGCAGCTCAGGCACTGCGGAAGCATCCAGCAAGGGGATCATCTCCTCCTGGAGACACAGCCCTGAGAAGCGGTGCGGTAGGTCCCCAGACATTTGTTTGCCTGTACCCTGCTTCAGGGTGATGTGTTCTAGCTCAGTCCTGTGCTCTTAATGTACTGAATGAGGCTCATCACCCTTACATGATAGAACCTAACTGCTCATTAGAACATTACGTTTTTTTTTTTTTAAATATTTTTATTTATTTCTAGGAGAGAGAGAGAGAGAGACAGCGTGAGCAGGGGAGGGTCAGAGAGAGAGAGAGTCACAGACTGAAACAGGCTCCAGGCTCTGAGCTGGCAGTCAGCACAGAGCCCGACGCGGGGCTCGAACCCACGAACCGCGAGATCATGACCTAAGCAAAAGTCGGACGCTTAACCGACTAAGCCACCCAGGCGCCCCTAGAACATTACGCTTTTGATTTACACAGCTGTGCCTAATTCTAGGCATCTTCTCCCCTCAATTTGCTGCTGCCAATAAACCGTCTGATTTTTATCAGTGCCTCGCCAACCCCCCCCCCCTTCCGCCACCTTAGAATAGATAGATACAAGCATTGTATTTTAGATCTGGGGGGGGCATTCAAAAAGCCAACTTTAGTCATTGTTGCTCAGTGCTGTGGGCCAGCATTTGTGGGCTCCATTTTGGAGGAGCTTTCATGACTCTGGGCTACCCTTTCAACCCCAACAAGCCAGCTTGCAACACTGTGAGGTGTGCATCGGACCAGAATGCTAATGACTCAAGACACCTCTTTGTCTCTATGGGTGAAGTCATTGATTTCACACGCTCCCCTGACAGAGACTCTCCACCCCACATTCCTCCCGCACTGAGAAAGAAATTCTTTCTTAAAGGGAAAACTGAGATGGCCTAGATAGCACTGTTGAGGATCTGCCTCCACTTTCCTTCCCCACCTTCTCTCAACCCAGTATCAGCTCCCTACCAGAAAATCCTGGGCAGGGCTGGGAATTAGTGCTACTACCTCTTGAATGCTTTGGCCCCTGCATGGACAAAGCTCCTTTCACTTCCAGCCTTTTTATGAAACTGACACAGATTTTTATCATTTGAATATAAGGCTAAGGACAGCTGAAGACCATGTCCTGCTTACTCTAACATGTTCCCTGCTGTACTGCATACTCAGGGATCTGCATGTGGTTGTAGAGCAGGCCAATGGAAGGAGCCCCATTTCAGCAGCTTTGCCTTGGTCTCTATTCGGGTCAGCTTTCTGACCTTGCTTCCACCATGTCCCTGTGGTTGGTTTTCTAGTAATGACATCAAATCTCTTCGGGTTTTATCTGCCCTGGACAACTTCCCAGAAGCAGACTTCCAGCCCAGTTTTACTGATGTCCTTCAAAATGGCACCAACCCTCAGCTTTGGCCTTGATGTGACTTTATAGAATTGGGTTCACTGGTAGTCTCACATTTTCCACTCATCCCTGTACTCCTATATTTCAACTTCTGGTAGCTGATTTTCCCATTCCTCTGGTTTCTACCATGGAGACCTGGTGGCACTGGCCTGATGGCCCAGCTCTGTCAGGGTTACACTGGAATGTGAGAGCACCAGTACCCACTACTGTCTCATATAGGGTCAGAGGGTGAAGGTCAGAACCAGGGTTGTGAGAACAAAGATCTGATAAAAAATTCAGAAGCCACTGGGTGTTGTCAGGTTGGGTTAGTGTCTGAGAGGAAAGAAGGTGAAAATGAGAAACAGTGAGCAGGATTGAACAGATGGCAAGCCCCTAAAGCAGCACACATTCCCCCCACATTGGAGCCGCATGCTTTCATCAGAGTTTGTGTGGATGAGGCAGGTCCAGTCACAGCAATGGGGCACATTGTGCCTCTAGCAGATAAACTCATAATTCTGGGTCAAGTCCCTGCTGAACTTGGATCTGACACTGTGGTTCAATAATAAGAAGAGTGAAATCATAATGAAAGCATAGGCAACCACATATAGTATCTGTTTTCTTATTCTGGAAACCTCAGAGAAATGGATGGGAAGAATATCTTTTCTTCCTTTTCAAGATGCCAAATGTCTGGCACTAGTTTTCTTTAGCAGTTGACTTTGTCAAGCTTACTCCCATAGAATAGCCTTTTGTGTATTTTTTTCCGCCAAATCCCCTTGGCCTCTGAGCTAAAGCAAACCCCGCTGAATGTTATTGCTGAATAGCTCATGGCATGTTTATGATATGTATGACTTTTTCTGGCTGACCTCACTGAAGGGGGCTGTTGCTTAGCCAGGAACCCATTTAGAGTGGCAGGGGATGCGAAATTATAGACCATCTAGCCTAACCTCAGAGGTAGGCAGATCTGAGAGACATTAAGAAGGAATGAGATCACAAAACATCTGGAGAAATATGAACTGACAAAAAACTAGCCTTTGTGGTTTTGTAAAGGGTAAATCTTGTTTGACAAATGTGGCGGGGATAAAAAAGAGAGAAAGAGAATGAAAGAGATAATGTGGAAAGCATAGGATTATGAGACAGTGGGCTTAAACTATTAGGATTTCCAAAAGACTTTGCACAAGATGTTACTAAATAGACTCACACATTGGGTAGCACCTTTAGGCTTCCCAAAGTAGTGAACTTCAAACATTGAAATGAAGAGCTCAAGTCATGTTATAATTATCCCATTTATTTTCCTAAGGGTACTATCTCAAATCCTCCGTTATTATACACTTGGGTAGTAAGACTAGAGCCAAGTAGGATTGTGTAGTTTAAGGCCTCCAACATCTCCTGAAAGGTGGTTAGAATAATAGGTTGGCTTCGGTATGTATACAGAAGCTATTCTGGAAAGGTGGCTGGGCCTCATTAGTAGGGTCATCAAGCCATCAATGAAATAGATTTTCTAGTTCAGGGGTTGGCCAACTACAGCTGAGAGGCCAAATCGACCTGTGTTTATAAATAAAGTTTTATTGGAACACAGCCATCCAAACCCATTCATTTATATATTGTTGAAGGCTGCTTTCATGCTGCAGTGGCGGAGCTGAGTACAGTTGGTCCCCAACTTACAATGGCTTGACTTAAAATTTTTTTGACTCTGTGATGGTACAAAAGTGACATGCATTCAGTAGAAGCCCTCTTTCAAAGTTTGAAATTTGATCTTTCCCTGGGCTAGTGATATGCTGTATGATAGTCTCTTGTGACGCTGGGCAGTGGCAGCAAGGCACAAGTCCCAGTCGGCCACATAACTATAAGAATAAATAATTGATACAATTATAACAATTCTGTATCCCTACAGCCATTCTGTTTGTCACATCCAGTACAGTAGTCAGCAAGTTACATGGGAAAGTTAACACCTTATTATAAAATAGAGTTTGTGTTAGATGATTCTGACCAACCTTGAGCTAATGTGAGGGTTAGGAGCACATTTAAGAAAGGTGAGGCCAAGCTGTGATGGTCAGTAGGTGAGGTATATTAAATTCATTTTTGACCCTTGATATTTTCAACTTAGGATCAGTTTATCAGGATAAAAACCCTATTGCTGGGTTGAAGAAGTTTCATGGTTGCAATTGTATGGTCCACAAAGCTTAAAATATTTACTGTCTGGCAATTTATAGAAAATATTATTGATTCCTATATTTAGTTTATCTGCAACCCTCTCCCAATTAGCCATTTTTGGGAGCTTTGTCATTTCCTTCTGTTTTATTTTCTTTACAGCATGTTTCACTATCTAAACTATCTTGTTGAGTTATTTACTTACTTTTTTAGCATGAGCAGGGGAGAGAGAGAGATAAAATACCAAACAAGCTCCTTGCTGTCAGCTCAGAGCCTGATGCAGGGCTTGGTCCCATGAACTGTGAGATCATCACCTGAGCTGAAATCAAGAGTCAGACACTTACCTGACTGAGCCACCCACGTGTCCTTATTTACTTACAGTTTGGATAGTTTCTCCAACCAGAAGGAAAGCTCCTTAAACACAGAGGTCTTGCTTATTCTGTTCATCATAGTGTATTCCCAGCTGTTGACATATAGAAGTTGTTCAACCACTAGTTATTGCATGAAAGAGAGAGAGAGAAGGGGGAGGGGGAGAGAGAGAGAAGGGGGAGGGGGAGAGAGAGAGAAGGGGGAGGGGGAG